ACACAAATTGACCTGTTTTATCAAATTCCGAAATCCCGGGATTTTCCAGAACTTAAATCCCGGGATCCCGTGCAAACCCTAGTGTACATTCGCAATGAGTTTTGCTCACTAGCTAAATGCATGACAGTGTGAAACCATTCATCATAATTAAAACAATGATAATGTTGAAATTGTATTCCTTTTATATTCTTATAGGAAAACATAATGCAGTCAGACTGAACAACAGAGTAATCATAAAAACCAGCGAGACAAAATAATAAATAATTCAGCATTGAGCTGTGATGAATGTATTACATCAGTCTTTATTCATGATACTTGTTCATATGTTCGCATGAGCAGCAAAATCGCTCTTTCCATGCAAAAATTGCTTGAATAAAACTTACACTCATCGTTCTTTTCTTCAATTTTTTTTCTTACTGAACCCAAACCTTTCGTTGCTTTCTCAGTCAGACCGTTGAAGCAGAATAAACTAATTGGGAATATTTTTTTCAGTGCCTCTTAAAATAGCTACGTTCACATTTATAATGTCATGCTCAGAACAGCTTCAATATGCCAATATACAACACAAATGTCCATTTACGCACTGTGAAGCTATTTTGAGCGGACACTTCTATGGTACAGTTCACAACTGGCGTAGCGCTCTTGCTTGAATCGCATGTATCACAGCGCTTGATAAACATGATTTTAGAATTCACGAGCACAATTCTGACAAAGATGATAACTTCCCATGCACTCGTTTTTGTGATCCTCCTCGCTGCCATTCACCTCGGATACACCATCAAGTGTTACACGGTTAAAATTTTATCTTTTAATGTAATTCAGTGCAATCACTCGCCAATTATAACCGCACACCTTCAGCATTATGATATTATCGGTAAAATTTTGATGATCGAGTGAGAAACGTTCTTCACGTACTTCTTGTTTCTTTGGAAAGCCGATTCTTCACTTCGACTATCAAAACTTCAAGCACACCAACGAATTTCTGATTAAGGGTTTCAAATTGATTCGAGGACAGAGCTTCGGTACAGAAACCGAAGAATGTGACAACCAGTCAGCTTATTGTTACAATATGACCGTTAATGCAGCCGTTATTATCAATGTGGCGAAAGCTGGCTGCTCATATTACAGATGCATGGTCAGTTGCTTTTTAATCCATCATCTCACAAATTCCTATGCCTTAGAATCAGATACCTATATCTAAAAGATCAATTATTTGTTGAAATTCGATCGTCCACACTGAATTCCCTGAATTGCGCAAGTCGGTTCTCAAAGAGACCGATGAGTTGATAGAACAACATCCTTTCATCGTTTTGCATTTAAATAGTTGATAGGAGAATGACTTTTAGAAAAATTACAAGAGAATAATGAAACATCTTATGTAAAGATTACTTTCCAGAAAAGATTTCTAGGTAGAGGTCGTTTATTTAGCTCTTTGGATTCTGTGAAATTCAACAAGGAATATGCTTTGAGAACTTTAGTAATAGAATGTCTACATCGTATGTTTTAGGATGAGGACATACTTCACGACAATTCCGATTTTAATGAGAAATGTTAAGCCCTACGAACAACTTCTAATCACTAATTTTACAATTCCAGTTTGCGCGCAATACATGTCGCAGCACCTCGTTCCAAGGAATACCAGCTAGCTTTTGCTGCTGTGACGAAGATTTATGCAATGTAGGCGAGTGAATGATATGCAAAAAGTTCACTTCAATGGCAAACTGACTTCACTTTCCGTCAGCTCTCATAAACACACAAACACAAACCATCCATCCTTCCAGCCATAAATGTTTATGCTATCTCTCATAGTGATCGTGAGCAGATTCGTTCAGTTTTCTAAAGTGCATTATTTTGATTGCAATGATTTTTTTTGTGTGTTTGCATTTCTTCCATACAATCATCTGAGCGAATCGCTCATTATATTGCATGCAAAACATGTATAGTTTCATGACCTTGTTCGTTTTAAACAACAGCAAAAGTAAACTAATCGTAAGATGTAAAGTTGAAGTGCTCCTTCAACCGTGAGTGACACGGACAAATGTTTCAATTGTATTTTATGAACTACATTCAGGTGTTTAATTCACGAGAATACTGTATCAAACTCTGTCATTGTAATTATACTGAAAATAAATGATAAACCAAAAAAACACACTTCAAAAGAACAAAAGAATTTAATCATTACTTTGAGGTCGAACGAAATCTGTATGGTTTTAAAGTCGAAGCAGTGTAAGATGCAAACCGATCACTCTAACATAGGTATTGTGCGACGCATGAGACATGCGAATTACAAAAAGTTAGAGAATAAAATTGATCAAGAAAACGCATGTACTGAAGTGACGATATAACAACGACGTTGTGAACACGATACGGAAGTGACATTAGTCTGCCGAATGTGAGAGACTTGGAGTGTTTGTCTCATATTAGTATTAG